GTAGTCCAATATATGTTTGTTTTGAAAGTTTTTAAAATAATAAAATTACTTATGTGCTCATAGGTAAAAAGGGTAGGTATTTATTGTTAGGTTTTTAGTTGCATTGACAATTTTTTAGACAAAAGGTTTATTGTAAAAGAATATGATTGTTACAAAAGAGTTGTAAAAAGTCATGGAATCTTTTGGAGGGTTGTATAGATGAATTATGAGTCCCTGGGTTCAAGTATGGAACAAGAAGGAGTTGTTGAATTTACGCTTACCTGTCGCCTAGCAGATGTTCGAGCGTCCAAAGCAGAATTATTGTCGCCCGACTCTCGCTCGAGCGACACACCTCTCACTCGTCCTCGCTAACCTGGTGCTCGAACGACGGTATTTTTTGAAAAACCCTAGTTTGCGTTTTTCAAGAATTTTATCTATCCAATACTACATAAACTTCTCATATGGTCATTACGTTTTTTAGGGTGGTTTATTATTGTTTTACATACTTATATTATTATTGCAAGATCCAAAAAATACATCAAAATATTTAGACTAACCTCTTGGTTTTTGAGATCAATCAACTACAAGTTTGGGAAAAACATCAATTTCATATAATCCAAATACTCACTTCCTAGATATCATTAGGAATGTACTTTCTCAATCACTTTCAGAGGTTGCTGAAGATTGAGTGATGTTGAACCAAAAGCATAGAAAGAGTACAAGAATGAGACGTTCTTGGTGTTCCATAGAAGATAGACAATTCCAGAAGATCGGGAACATGTGTGAGTGAAACACGTTCTAACGGATCTTGGAGATTGTAGGAATTAGATGGGCGAGTCTAGTGCGTTTTCTAGGTTGGATCCTATTTTAAGTTCTTATTATCTATAGTGAAAGCTAATAGCTTGGTCCCAGTTTTTTTACCAAATGAAAGTTTTGGTTGTCATCAAATCTTGTGTTATTTATTGTTTTAATTATTTATAGTCACAATTCAACATAGGATAACTTGACTTGATTGACTAAACATCTAGAACAACTTAAAAGTGAATTATTGCTTTTAATTGACAAATTTAATTCTGCATTATTCATCTATTAGGTGATTTTAGGGTTGAACTAGTAACTTTTATCTATAAACCTTGTACCATATACAAAAAAAGCAAATATGTATATCAATCTTGTTCGTTTTCAATACTTGAGACAAAGATGATAGGATTGGGAGAGAGAGAGAGAGAGAGAGAGAGAGAGAGAGCCAAGTTAATTACTATAAAATATAAAAAAAACTTGAAACCAAAAGTTGAAAATATTTTGTTCTCTTTGATGGGGGTTTGATATAATTTTTGTTTATTTGCTTTTCTTTGCTTACACGAGTTTCCTTGTTACATGGATCCAACAGCTGCAACCTGCAAGATTGATTTGGTCTAATTAGTTGACAAAATCAATAAGCACATGGAGTGTTTTGTAATTTTATTCCAAATAATCTGAAAAAAAAAAAACTAACTAAAACCCATCAATACTAAAATAAAACAAATATTAAAATTGTTCGTGTGTGTTAATACTTTAAATTTTACGTGTTTGTTGTCTAATCAAATTGAACAATCTTATCTAGCAGCAGTAATTTTAGAATACCAGTCTAGACTTAAGCATGTGATACATCTAGGAATTGCTTCCATTTGAAGTTTCCAAGAGATATATTTTGAAGAGGTGAGTTTGATAGAATTGTTGATGTTGGTAATCTTTAGAGGTTTGTTGGGACCCTGGTCATTGGGAGTTGTAGGTGGATTATTTCGTTGGCCATAGTTAGAGGTGCACTGAAGACATGAGGAATAAAAAATAAAAAATAAAAATTGAAAGTATATGCTACAATTTCAGCAAGGACTATAGCTTTGATATCATAGAGTTAAGAAGAGAGAGATTATGGCTTGTATTACATTGCTGAGAATATCAAAGGAAAATACATGATTGGAGTATTTTTTAAAATAAGATTAGTACTCTTCTCGTGTTTTTTTCTCCAATTTGAGCTGTGTGTGGTGGGGGACCATTTCATGCCTACTCTTAGGATGTGAGAGGACACCAGTGGCCAACTTCGGTCTTGTCAGCTACAATACCGTCCTAGAGATGCATGCCATTTATCCAAGTTTTGGATGCGTTGATTAGTTGTCAAGGTCGTCATGCCAGTTTATTACCATTTCAAACTCTGCTAAACCGTCTGATAGTGATGAGTTGATGTCATGTAATCATTATTTATCTTTGATTGGTTACAATGGTAGGCACCGATGTTTGGAGCAGCCAGTTGTCATTGCTGGATTGGTAAGTTGAGAAATTTGTTAGTATAGTAGAGACTTAGTCATCATTATGTTTTCCTTAATTACGATGGTCTTTAATCCGAGTTGATCTCGGCAGGTCTCATGTATCCGATCTCACATTTATAGAGCAAGAGGTGGAATTAACCGTTTAGACGAGGTCGAAGCTCGGATGTCAACAAGATTAATTACAACTTCAATAAAATAATCAAATTATGCTTATCGTCTCCCATGTGTGTGTTAGTGGTACAATAATTCAAATTTGGAGTTCCAAACGAGTTTGTTAAGATTTGAAGTCCTGGGTCAAGTTGATAAAAATGCAAATAATGTTGCAGACAAGGCTTAGGAAAACAAAATCTCTCTTGCATATGATTACACTGGTAAAAAATAGGAAAAATTAAACTAAATTACATGTAGTTCACCCTTATGGGGCTGCTTGGGAGCTTTGGGGGGTACCATTATGGTTTTTTTGAAGTACCAATTTTGGACGTTTATGAGGGGTTTGATTTTGGGTCATTTTTAGTAATAATTTTAAAACAGTCTAATCCATGCTTGTAAGTTTATTATTAAATGATTTTGAATTTTTTTTAAAGAAATAAAATTACATATATATACTCGTATATTAAAAAGGTAGGTATCTATAAAGACTACCGTGTAAAAGTGTATGTCACTTCTTATATAAAAAAAAAAATGTAAATTTTTATATAAGTCTTTGTTCATTTTCAATGCTCAAGACGAAGATGTTAGGATATTGACATCATTACACCAAAAATAATGAAAAAAGAAATTTAACATTTGAGTGTTCCGTACATAGATGTGTAAATCTTCATCTAATTTAACGATCAATTTTCGTTCATAAAAAAAAAAAAAAGAACAGTAAAATGAAAAACAAAAATTTAGAGATTGAGGGTGGAGAATGCCAAGTTATAATTACTTTAAAACATTTTTAAGAAAATTGAAACCAAAATTGAAAAGATTTTGTTCTCTGTGATGGGGTTTTGTATGATTGTTGTTTATTTGATTTTCTTTTTTGTCAACATGAGTTTCCTTGTTACATGGATCCAACAGTAGAAAAATTAATTTGGTCTACTTAGTTGACAAAATCAATTAATAAGCGCATGGAATGATTTGTAATTTTATTTTAAATGAGCTGGAAAAAAACTAATTAAAACACATCAATACAAAATAAAATAAATATTAAAAGAGTTTTTGTTGTTAATACTTAAAAACACGGCTCGGAGTGAGGAATATTGAGTAACGGTTGTATTACGTGTACATTAAACTTACATATTGATTTATCAACAGATGATGTGATGAATGAGAGTTTTCCTTCATTATGTTTTTCGAGATTTCATTCGGTTTAAGTATTTTTCCCCATATTAATGTTTTTATCAAAATTGCAAGTGGAATGCAGTTATCCCTTGCAATGATGATTTTGGTTTCTATTCATTTTCGTTACTTCTAATTAACATAGAAGATGAAAGAATTGATACTTCAAATCTGAAACTAATTTCTGAATTTCAAGAAACATGCAGGGGGCTCCAGGGTTTTGACAAGCTTGGCTTGGGGTTTGGGAATATGACTATTTCATTTCTTTCTACATCTTGTCTAATGTATTCCATCTCATGGAACACACTAACATGTCAAATTCCATATCTTACTTGAGCGAGTCACTAAGGTAAGAATCCAACCCCATGGAGGTTGACATATTACAGTTTATAGTGAGTTGTCTTAAGTCACCATTGACTGTTAACAAATGTAATTAACTCATGATTTGTATAAATTGTGCATAGAGCATCTCTCCATAGGCACTATACACAACCGTGTACAGCGTAAACGATGGGTTAAGCTCATGTTAACAATGTGATGAAACATGTTTTCCTTGTTAAAAACTCGTACTGTGGCTCCTGTTTTGTTAATTTATTGACATTTTCATTCTGTTACCGAATTTGAGTATTTACCAATAACCAAAAATGTGACTGGGGAGTTATATGAATACCAAAAATAAAAAATAAAATAGCTGCATTCCAGCGAATTCTTAATATCTCCATTCTAACTCTACTTTAATGCATCCAACGATTTTCTTTGCATGTTATAATATATGATCGTATTGCTCTTGCAGGTGTCCAGATATTCAAGTTCTCTCTATCAAGAGCTGTCCTCGTGTCTCTGATGTAATTATTTCTGAAATAGCTTCCGGGTGTCCCAAGCTTAAGGAGCTGGATGTCAGCTACTGTTATCGAATATCTCACGAGTCTTTGGCAGCCATTGGATCACATTGTCCTAACTTGCATATTCTTAGGCGGAATCTGATGAATAGGGTGGATCCTTCACAGCATGTCAGAATCGTTCCGAATGAGTATCTAAGTGCCTATCCCCAGGATGGGGATTCAGAAGTTGCCGCCATTGGAAAATTTATGCCTCGTCTTCTGCAACTTGAACTCCAGTTTTCCAAGTTGACAGGCAAAGGACTTGTTCTGCTGTCTGAAGGATGCCGGGACCTTGAGTATATTGATCTATCTGGATGTAGGCAAGTGCCTCGTCAAGCTATGGCATATGCATCATCAAATCTGAAGAAGTTGAAAAACATCAAGCAGCCGAACTTTTATAGCCCGAGGCCTGTTTTCCACATGGAATGATATGGTCATCCGTAATTGTATGATGAGCTTTCCCATTATAGAATTTGATAGGACTGGGAAAGAAGATGTGGAGAGATTCACTGTTAAATTGTCAAGCTACCGGACCTGGTGCATTTCATGTTCAGTTGCTGTTGTAAAGCTATGATGAAAATCTTCATAGCTGCTCAGATCCTTTTGATTTTATTTTGTTTAAATTCTAGCTGGTGCTATTTGTACTCCTGATTCTACTTCTCGTTTTTTGTTATTTAGATTTGGTTATACAACCAGTCTATAGTTAGTAATGTCTGTGTTATCTTTTCACTACACATCTGCAGTTCCATAAATTTGGAATTTGTGGTTTTTCTACATTTTGCATTATTTTTCTCTTGGAATTTGTTCTCTATATTTGTTACTTTCTGGGAGATATAACTTTTATGCTTGTTTTTATTTCCAAGTCAACCAATAAAGCATAGCCTGGGCCCTGAAGTTCTAGAAACATGAGAAATCAACTATTCAGATTTAAAGGATGGAAGAACAAAGTGCAGAATTATTGACCTAATAAGTAGATGTGCATCAATTAACATTTAAATGTTCCCTAGAGCTGGTAATATGCTCTAAAGGCTCGGGTTGAGTTTGAATCTTCTGTAACTCATTAGAGAACAGCTTAGAAATATAAATGACCCAAGCTTGAACAGAATCTTAAGATCACAAATACTTTTCGCTTTTCAGTTTGGGTTTGCTCTGATTCCTTAAGTTAATAATTATGGTGGACTAGGCAAATCAATTAAGCTGTTTTGGGTTTGCCTTAGATTAAGCTTTGCAAAATGTTTAAATTTCTCCTATTCTACTTGTGGCTTTTGAAAATCTTCTCTTGAAGAAGGAATAGAAAATGGAATTTCAATTCAACTTATCATCTTGTTATGGTGATACTTGATAATGTTTTAAGTTGTAAAACTATTATATTCGTTCAGTAAATATTAATAAACTATCGTGACATATATCATCTTGTTATGGTGCAAATACTGAAACGGAAAATATAATTCAGTCCTGAATACTGTATTAACTTGTAGATATAGATGCCCAGAAGTATTGATTAAGATCTCATTAATCGCTACATATAACTGGAAGGATACTCAGAGACATGTTTGTGTAAAAACTCAATTACAAGGTAGCAATAGATACTCGTAGTAAACAATCATACAGCTTCCTCAGGGTAACTCGAAAAAGAAAGTGAAAACAAGCCACCCTTCAATTATATGACCTAGAGTTTCTGTTAAGGAATTGGAGCGACTCTGTGAATGTTTTGGATGCCTAGCGAGATCTGACCCTCCATAAGTCCCTTTCATGAAATTGAAATACATTGTGCAGTCCGTAATGTTCATGTTGATTGGCTTCCAGGACTGGTTTTCGGTAATGCTCATGTTGATTGCCTTCCATGTCAAGTTTAGTAGCATTAGGATTCACTGCTGCAAAAAATTTGATATGAAATAAAATCAGTGAGGTAGTGGTAAGAGTTCTTAAGAACCAATTGATGAAATTTGAAAAAAATATCAAATATATGGAGATCCTAAATGAAAGGTCTGGATCTGCATGGTCCTTGAGTGGGAATCGTGGAATGGTCTTTTTTTTGCGGTATGCTTTCTTGATTAAAAGATGTTTCATAGACAACGCTGAGTCAATGAATAAGGTGGGGTGTGGACAAGGATAGAGGGGAGTTCGGAATAGCACATAGTGCCTTAAAATGCTGGTGACTTGGTTCGAAGTTTATTGTCAAACAAGCATCTTTTGGAGTGTATCTTGTGAGTGATGAGAAAAAAAAATTGATAAATACTATAGTTCACAAAGAAAGTAAATAAAAGCACGAATCTAAAATAAATCCTTAGTTCAAAAATGAGTCATTCAATAAAAATTGGTTGATTTTGAAGATATATTCTACCAAATTGTTCAGACTGCATCCCAAGTTGAAGATCTCTGGCTTCTGGGGCAGTGATTGTAAATGCAATACATGCCATTGCCAACATTTGTGTGCATATTATGCAGCAGAGATGACAGTAATTGGTTTTTCATGGTTCAGTTTATAGGAGCTACAAATCCTGCACAA